TGGATTGCCTGGTCCAGACTCGATTATTTACAGGCCGCCGTCATAGAGCTGGAATATTGCTGAGTGCGGCGTTAAACAACAAACAAACAAACAGTTGTCAATTTAAAAAAAACAATCTGGGTATACTTTCTTTTGCCCCTCAGTTTATTTAACAAAAACAAAATGAAACCCTGTCCCTGGTCTATAGCGATTATCTTTTTACATATACCTCGCATTGTAGGAAAATAAATAATGTTCCTTTTTCTTGGAGAAAGATGTCCAAAGAATATTATTTATCTTATTTATTTATTAACACCTGTTAGTGTTGAAAAAATAATTGCTTCTATCGTGCTCAACTACACTGTCGTTCAGACAGTTGTCTACAGGTAACCATGGTTATCGTCCAAACTGATGATTGTCCATTCACATTCATTTTAAAATTGTCTTTGTGTGAACAATATCGGTTAAATGAAGACTGGCGTGTGGCACGGTCTTGCATGCCCCTACTATGTTTGAATTGTTTGTGTATTTTGCGAATTTATTGTTTTAATTTCTTACTGACTAAGCAAAAGTAGAATTCATATTTTGGATAAAATATCGCTAACTTAAGATATTTTCAGTTAAAAATCAATATACATTTATGATAAATGAACTGAGAGGTATAGTTTCTTTTGCTCCTCAGTTTAGACATATTTAAATAAAGATAAACGTCAGACGTAATTGTGAGTGTTTGTTTGTTGTTATTTACTCATGGTAGAATGGAGATAAACATACTGTATTTTCAATGTAGATTTAACCGCGCTAAATTTAACATTTGAAACCTCACGCTGCGCGTTCGGTTGTTGACAGTTGTGCGCTACATGGATGAATAATGGCTCTGTACGTGAGACCGTTTGCTGGTGCAGTCAGACTGAACTTCATCATCATGGGCGATAACGCATGATAACGGCGTATAACGCGCGATAACGAGTAGGGACTGATATTATTGTAACAAATAAACTTACTTAGAGCAGGAGATCATTATCGGTATTGGCTACTCAGAACGATCTCTCGGGACGCCCTCTCGGGACACCCAGTCCTTCCAGCAACTCTACAGGAACTCAGCAATGTTCTCACTGAGGAGTGGGGCAATCTTCCCTTGGCAACCATCCAGTCACTTATTGGCAGCATGAGATTACGGTGCCAGGCTGTGATCGCATCACGTGGATCGCATACACGCTAATCAGCGTAATGTAAATGACCTTGGTCTATTGTGTATATTTGTACAGGTCTTTCAAGCACCCCTATATTTACGATGCTTAAGGATCAACCCATGACCACGTCATAAAGAGTTTTGGCTGCAGACGAATGATAGTCACCAGGCGATTCAGGCAGACTGGGCGGAAGAGAGAGTGACAGACCTCCTGTCACCGTCACCCAGGAAACTTTACATGCGTATCCTCCATCTGAGGAATGATATTACTGTGACGTCATTATCTGAGACAGTCATCCTGTCAGTTGATGGTTATAGGACCTGGGTACAATAACAGTGAGTGAGTGAGTGAGTGAGTGAGTGAGTGAGTGTGGTTTTACGCCGCTTTTAGCAATATTCCAGCAATATCACGGCGGGGGACACCAGAAATGGGCTTCACACATTGTACCCATGTCGGGAATCGAACCCGGGTCTTCAACGTGATGTGCAAACGCTTTAACCACTAGGCTACCCGACCGCCCCGGGTACAATAACAGGGCGTGCAGACCACTAAGAGACATATCGCCGACACTGTCAAGCATGTCCTGCTTGACTGCATTGATTTCCCATTTATGGAATAAATATTTCAAAGTTTCATCGCTCAAGGATCTCTTTTATCAAGTAAGTTCTCATTTAATTATTGTTTTTTAAAAAGAAATAGAATTATTCAATAAATTTTGAATATATGTTTTGTAATTAATAAATATTTTAAAATTGCTAGAGGATAACTTGTTAACTGAGATTGTTAGTGGCTTTACCCTTGATTGGGGTTGAAGTAGTGTAAAATGATTGTCCCCCAGTGAGGGTACGCCAGACCACGTCATTCAAAGTAATGTTTTTCCAACACAATTTTAATCGTAGTATATATGTTCATTTAACCTCGCTAAATTTGTCTTTAATCGCCAACAGCAGAAGGGATGATGTAAATCCGGCTGGGGTCCATGCATGTAGCAAAAGTACTGTAAGTCCCCATGGACCCTTGCATGGTGATCTACCTTCAGCTGCTGGCGATCTATAGCCCTTTTTCATATTGTACCTTTATTTATAGTGACATCTTTTAATAGTTGTATGCTAGATTTAAATATAATTCTGTGATATTCCAGTAATTTTAGTGTCCATCGATGATATATTTTAATTTAGTTAAAATAAATGTATTAAAAATGTATAATTTCTCGTCACGATAAGGCTGAAATATTGCCGATGTGACGTAAAGCATTAACTCACTCACTCACTCACATATACGCACGTATGTTTAGGTACACATGTGTAAAATTACTTACGTTAGTAAATGTTATTCATGTAAACGGGCTCCTGGTGTAAATATACATACGTAAGTAAACGCGTTCACATGACAAGTATACTCATGTATGTATATTTACACACACATGTAAATATACACATATATGTATAGATATGCATGTGAACGGGGTATAAGGCATCATGCAAGAGTCTCATCACGCGCAATGGCCACGGCCGAGGCTGTTCTTGGTTGAGTATCGATTTATACAATAACATAGAGTCTGGAGTTCGGCGTGACGAGCGAACGCTTTAACCACTAGGCTACCCGACCCCCCCCCCCCCCCCCCCCCCCCCTGTGATGTTAGAGATAAAACCTGCTATTGGTATTGGGCTCAGAAATTGGTGCCAACCCTTTGGGATTCGAGTTGGAATATTGGCCCCCAGTTACCTGTGCTTGTCGCTACAAGCGTCTAAAAAGATCAGGTGGTAATTCTCGCGGACTTGGTTAATATCATTAATCGATGCTAATGATATCAATCACTCTATTGTTTGATCCAGATAAGATTATTTACAGATTACCGTCACATTGGAATATAATAAATGTATCGTTAAACAATATTTTTCATTGAATATCTAGTAAATTATATGCTTCAGATAAAACAGTTGCCAACCAGGCACCTAAACTAATTCCATTTTATTTTAATCAAGGGGGCACAGGTCGTCCAGTCGTCTAAGGCGCCGTAATGAAGAGTTTTGCATCCCTTGGGCACGCCCAAAACCTATGATCGTGAGTTCGAATTCTGGTTCGCCTAGATTATGTTTCTAGGTTTGTCAGCACCATACCTGTGTTCGTGTGTTTCACCAAAATGATAAACGTCTAAGACCTGCATTGCATTTGGATTGTGATATTACTGGAATCGTGTTCAAAGCAGCGTTAAACTCAACCCACTCACTCGCCAAATAAAGATTGCTGGTGATGATATATATAGTAGAAATATTCTATAAAAAGACATTTGCCTGGATTTTATTTTATTTTCACATTAACACTTGCAATCAACAAGAAGAATGACTCATGCACAAGCCAATAACAAACGTATTTATTCATAGGCGTCTGACGTCAGCAGTGTTGCTCTTGGAAATTAATCCTCCAGTGCATATAAAAGGTGAAGACAAATGCGTGTTGGTATCACTTTCTGTCTAGATCTCGAGAGTGCCATATCTGAGCGTTACAAGGTTTCCCCACTGCATGGCCGTCAGCGTAGACGCTGTCTGCACCCCTGTAGACGTGCTTGACGGTGGTTTCCTGTCAAAATGGGACGTCGGGCGGGTCTTCTGGCGACAATCCCTGCACATCTGAGGCGACGACGTACGGTTTGTGAAGATATTCGTCGTAGGCCAGGGATGCTTTTTGCAGTCACTGTTGCTGGCTGGAATCGATTTTGTAGGTGTTGTTCGAATCCAGTTGTCTTGTCGAATATTGGTTACGCGTGGCCTGCCACTCCGAGGATGGTCTCTGACTGCATTCATCTGTTGCCAACGTTGCCATAACACCAAATGGTGTTTCTGTTGACGTAAATTGTCTTGCAACATCACGTTGACTCGATCCTGCTTCAAGCACAGTGCTTGTGATTTATTGCTTTGATCATTGTCGGGGCTGATTATCTAGCTGTCTTCCCTTTGTCCACAGCCATTTCCATTCTATTACCTAGCAGTACTAATTATCCCGGGCCTCCCGCTTGCCCATTGCCCATAACTAATCAGTGATTATTTAAGTCCTGGCTTCCAGTTCCGTCGCTAGCAACTATCAGCGTCAATTATCTGGTTTCTTTCCTTGCTAAGTTTCAACCTTTGTTATCTTATTACTTTTGTTATTCTTACAGGTACGTTTATTTGTTCTCTGCCTCATAGCATTTATTCACCCGATGAAGGAGTTAGTATATACTCCGAAACGTTGTGTTCCTCATGATAAAGAAGTTGATATCCATAAATTCTATTTCTTAAATGTTAAATTGTTTTCTGTTTTCACAGCTCAACGAAAATAGTACAACTGGAGTGAGCATCGTTAAAAATACATCTCACAAATGTCACTCAACTTCCAGAACTATTTAATAGGATTGGCATTTATTTGAACTGAGGTTTCTGCAAAAAAATATGAATCAGAATGTCTTGAATGTTCTTGAAATAAAACAAACGATCGAATCACGCATTGGTGTTTAAATAGTGGTAACTGACCCATACGTTTTGTTTCCCCTGTCGGTTTCGTTTGTATTTATATGAAGTATGAAATGGAAAATATACGTACGGATAAATGGAATCACTGTAAATGTTACCAGATTGGCTCATTCCAAGTGAACCAGGGTGTAGGTTGAACAGGCTGTGTTGGTGGGAGTCAAGCTAATTGTGGTAAAAAGTTCTCATCGCTGAGAGAATCCCCCAAGGAAGCAGTGAGGAGGTTTTCAAAGATGATAGAACTTTATGTCTGCTTAAACGACAAAGGCTGCACAACTCCGAACTTCACAAATAACAAAGAGGCCAGTCTGTGCGATCGCAAATGTCGCAGGTTTGCGTGCCATGTACTTTCTCAAACATCAACACATCTCCTCGCTTTATGTCGGCACTACAGTTGATGCGAATCCTATATCGCAGCACAGAAATAAAAGTAGCAAAGAGTTGCTTCCATTCCAAAATTTCAACAGTTCACTTTATGTACGTCAGCTGTCATGAATATGGCCGTGTTTTCAAACCATTGTGAAACTTGAAATTTTTTTTTCAAAAATAACAAGAGTTTGCCAATAACGAGGCTATATCCCCCGCCCCTGTTGCAGAATTTATGACATAATTAAATCTAAACAAACCCTAACCTTTTTTAACCGAGGTGGAACTTGTCATGGAAATTGTAAAAAAAAAGAAAGAGTTTGGAACCTAAGTCCATCTTGTTGCCATGGAAAAAAATAAAAATTTCTAAAATTTCTAAATAGCAAAAGGCACCAGTTTAGCATGTACCTGACAAACCTGCAAAGTTTGATGGAAAAATATTGAACGGTTTAGGAGTTAAGCTCTGGAAACGAACCCTACCCTAACAGAACCTAAGTCCATCTTGTTGTCATGGAGAAATAAAAAATTTCTAAAATTTCTAAATAGCAAAAGGCAGCAGTTCAGAATGTACGTGACAGACCTGCAAAGTTTGATGAAAAAATATTGAACGGTTTATGAGTTAGGCAGGATGCACACTACGACCGTTATTTTTGACGCATGCGTTTACGGATGCGTTAGGGTGCGATTTGATCAATACACAATATGCGAATTACACGGGTTCTGTCATGCGATGAACTATGCGATAATTGTCTTTTCATATCTTTTAGATGTTTGAGAAAGAGAAAGGGGGAAAGAGAAAATGGTGGATCCATCCTTTCACCAACAATCGTCTGGATGAGGGATCCTTCCATCGTTTGGTGAAGGAACTAGAAGGGGATTGTGATGAGTTCCATGGATATTTCAGAATGTCGAAAGATATGTTCGATTACGTTTTGGCGAAAATTGAAGATGTCATCAAAAGACAATTCCGCAAGTCCATTTCACCTAGGGAGAGATTGGCAGTTACATTAAGGTCAGTTACGTTCATTTAGCGTTGGTTTAAAAAAGAACAAAATTCAAAATCATTGAATATGAACTTTAATTTTTAATATCATCCACTCTTCTGTGTATGGTACAAAATAAGATTTCAAAAATCTAAATAAAATACTATTTGTCAAAAATTGTGAGCCATACTCTTTGTCAAATATAGTGAGCTATACTCTTTGTCAACTATTGTGAGCCAATCTGATATTCAAATATTGTTACATATTCCACATTTGTGGTTGGTATTCAAAAGAACCCTCTTGCTGTGGGTAGTAACTTTGATTGTGGACATCTGAACCAAAAGTAGCTTCGTGGAACACCTGAACAATTTTGATTTTGACCATGCTCTTGCTGGATTCTGAAAGTTGACTCAGTTGAGCAGCATATGACATCATAGGACACTGGCAAATATTTTATCCTGTTGTTCTTGCCTCTCCTGGTTTCTCTCATGACTCACCTTTAACATCGACACTATTTGAGATGACTATTTGTTGTTGGATAATTGTTTCACCTGTTTCTTTTTGGGTGGTGCGGGTGAAGGAGAAACAGACCTTGAAGAGCAGCTTGGGAGGGAGACACAGACATGCTACGTTTCTTCCGCCTGAAATAGATAGAAATGATAGTTAATGTTTTTACATATCAAATGAAAAATGTGCTTTTTATTTTCAGATATCTGGCCACAGGGGAATCTTTCACGTCTCTTTCCTACAACTATAGAATCGGAGCAACAACTATTGGTCTCATTGTGAAGGACGTCTGTGCTGCTATCTGGCAGACAATGCAGCCAGAGTTTATGAAGGTGCCATCAACATCTGATGATTGGAGAGAAGTAGCCAATGGGTTTGAGGAATCTTGGCAGTTCCCAAATTGCTGTGGAGCTGTCGATGGAAAACATGTAGTGATGAAAGCCCCACCCAACTCGGGATCAGTATTTTACAATTAAAAAGGCGCATTCTCCATCATCATCCTGGCTGCAGTTGATGCCTAGTACAGGTTCATCACACTTGATGTAGGATCATATGGTATGAACAATGATTCTGGTGTATTTCGCTCATCAAAATTTGGACAGGCACTAAAAAATGAATCTCTCTCGTTGCCACAAGACAGAGCACTCCCAGGAGCTGAGGATTTTGGAGAACTCCCCTACGTATTTATAACTGATGAAGGTTTGCCCTTGCTGAAGAATCTCATGAGACCATATGGAGGTCGAGGAAGAACAGAAGAGGAGCGTATTTTTAACTATCGCCTCAGCCGAGCCAGGAGGATAGTCGAGAGTGCTTTTGGGATTCTGGCTACAAGATGGATAGTGTTTCACACCAAAATAATGACGGAACCGAGCACAGTGGCATATGTGGCAGTGCCAGCACCACCTTTTCTGCTTTCTTTCAATTCTCTTTTTTGCGCTTGTACGTGTCCTTTAAACTTCTCCAACGAGTTTTAGCTGAAACAAATAAACACAGTAAATACAGTAAAATACAATAAATGTATAAGATAAACACGCACAAGCGTGTGATTTGGTAGTTTACATTGCATCATAGGAACACGTGTTGTTTTTTCATAGAGAAAAGTATAAAAATAACGGAGCAAATCACCTGTTTCATACAACACGAGCAGCCATGTGGTTGGAAAACCCCTTTCTAAAGTGCCAATTAATGACGTCACCCATGGATTTCCCTTGTGATTTGGAATGCGTTGCGTTAAAAATAGGAGCACCTCCTATCCAAATCGCATCGCATCGCATGGCAGTCAATTTTCGCACGTAGTGTGTGACCTTAATGACAAAACCACTGCTTGCGTTTTTTCGATCACATCCCATGACGCAACGGATTGAAATTCGGACGTAGTGTGCATCCCGCCTTATGCTCCGAAACGTGACGGACGGATGTATGGACGGACAGATGGACGGAGCCCGTTTCTTTATTCCCCGCCAACTTTGTTGGGCGGGGGATAATTATGGAAGCCCTGAGCCACCGTCTCAAGGGAGGTCTTATCTCCCACAGAATACACAACATGAGGTGTCCGAAAAAAGGAGGTGATTCAGGTGTATCAAGGAGGTCATTTATGATCATTCTGCCCTTCACGTCAATGTCTTTGGTGTAGCGTTCTTGCACTATTGGCCAGTAGACCTGATTACAGGTCTTGTTTACAAGCTGGTTGATGATGGTCATAGACGATACATACTGACGTCAACGTTGTGTGAAAACAACCCCGCCATCCCTGTCTGACAAGGATGGCCACTCCCTGTCTGATATGATAATCAGAGCTTAATTTCCGATAATACAGGCCTGGGAGGTTATGAAACTACATACTTTTAGGCGATAAGTACCTCCCAGGCGAGTGTTCCCTGTTTTTGATCAGTCACGAAGTCAGCGAGCCTGACCAACCGATACGTTAGTCGCGACTTACATGTACGACAAGCATCCTGCAGTTTTGGTCAGTTGACGATGTATCACTTCACAGCACACAGTTGAGATATAGATTGTTCTTAAATCATGTTTAATAGATCTAGATGAAAAGAACAAGAAAAATGGTGTAGTCTGTATTTGATGACAATAGATAAATACATGGTTGAAACAGATTGAGACATTTAGATTGTAAAGATTCAATAGAGACATCTGACTTGGTTCAGATTCCAATTTCAAGACACGATAGAATATAAGCTTCCGTCAAATGTGATAGTCTCCCCTCATCATTAAAAACAGGACCCGTGAAGATCCAGGGTGGAATAGGTCTTCAGCAACCCACGCTTTCCGTAATGTGCTTGTCGTAAGTGGTAAGTGGTGACTAACGGGATCGGGTGGTCAAGCTTGCTGACTTGGTTGATGCATGTCATCGTATCCCAATTCCGTGGATCGATGCTCATGATGTCAATCACTGGATTGTCTGGTCCAGACTCGATTATTTACAGACCGCCGCCATATAGCTGGAATATTGCTGAGTTCGGCGTTAAACAACAAACCAACCAAACCAAATGTTTCGATTGTCTGTGGTCTGTGACTTTATGCCCTAAAACTACCAAAACTAGTGCTAGCCCACTGAGATAAAAGGCCCTATTGTTTAACCTCTCAGTGCCGAGAGCAAGACAGATAAAGAACAAGTACCATCTTTTAACATTTACTGGTGGACGCGGCCGGGCATCGAACAACCAACCTTCTGCTCTCCGGGCATAGTGGGGCTGATATGAGTGATGTTAGAGTGAGTGAGTGAGTTTGGTTTTACGCCGCTTTTAGCAATATTCCAGCAATATCACAGCGGGAGACTCCAGAAATGGGCTTCACACATTGTACCCATGTCAGGAATCGAACCCGGGTCTTCGGCGTGACGAGCGAACGCTTTAACCACTAGGCTACCCGACCGCCCCCGTGGTGTTAGAGATAAAACCTGCTATTGGTATTGGGCTCACAATTTTGTGCCAACCCTTTGGGATTCCAGTAAGAATATTGGCCCCCAGTAACCTATGCTTGTCGCAACAAGCGTCTAAAAAGATCAGGTGGTAATTCTCGCGGACTTGGTTAATATCATTAATCGATGCTAATGATATCAATCACTGTATTGTCTGATCCAGATAAGATTATTTACAGATTACCGTCACATTGGAATATAATACATGCAGCGTTAAACAATATTTTTCATTGAATATCTAGTAAATTATATGCTTCAGATAAAAAACAGTTGCCAACCAGGCACCTAAACTAATTCCATTTTATTTTAATCAAGGGGGCACAGGTCGTCCAGTCGTCTAAGGCGCCGTAATGAAGAGTTGCATCCCTTGGGCACGCCCAAAACCTATAATCGTGAGTTCGAATTCTGGTTCGCCTAGATTATGTTTCTAGGTTTGTCAGCACCATACCTGTGTTCGTGTGTTTCACCAAAGTGGTAAACGTCTAAGACCTGCATTACATTTGGCTTGTGATATTACTGGAATCGTGTTCAAAGCAGCGTTAAACTCAACCCACTCACTCGCCAAATAAAGATTGCTGGTGATGATATATATCGTAGAAATATTCTATGTATATCAATATTTATTTCACGTACTGAAGAGGCCACAGGCCTATAGTACAATTTGAAGAACATACAATTTTATACAATTTATGTACATATCTCACCAAATCACCTCACGTCATTCCACATCGCATCTCAACACAGTCACATAATTTCACACATACAGTACAATACCATACCCTGTAATTTCATAACTTCTATTTTACCATATCACAACTTGTTATATCAAGATACTCAGTTGAAATTTCAAGTTATTATCTTGGAATTTCAACTTGGTATGTACCTTGAAATTTCAACTTAGTATCTTGAAATTTCAATAAAAAGAATTTAAAAATGTCCCTAAAAGGCTTCCGTACCTGACTCCTTGACAAAGTCAGTCATAATTCCCTTACTTAAGAAAGGAAACAAACAAAATCCAGATAATGACCGATAAATATCTCTTTTGTGTGTACTACACTTTACACTTCCATATTAAAAACCAGACATCTAATTGGGCAAATGTTAGAGATAAACGTGACAGAAATTCAGGCTGGTTTTCGACGGCTTAATTATTCGAGTAAATATCCGATAGAGTCTATTTAGATTTTTAAACACACAATAAATATTTGCCAAATATTTATATAACGCCGTGAATTGTGATTTGGCGAGGTTTACAATGAATCTAATTTTCAGAAGTCACTTTCAGTAATTTTGAATTGCCTAAAATGACAGTAAATGATAAACAGAAGGGGGAATTTAAAACTGTGCACATGAAGTGTATTAGTCTGCGTGATGTATTTTGAATTTTATTCCATTTCGAAATCAGGGTTGAAGAGGAGGGACATATGTGTCGCTGTGGCATCCAGGGGGTTGACACTCTGAAAAAAACGATAACGTTGACATAACAACAGATAATGTAACTGATAATAATACAAAACAAACTCGCAGACGAAGACGAGTTTGTTTATTTTTATTATTAATTACACAGTCCTGTTGTTCACGACAGACGTAGGTGAACATTCGACTGAAGCACGAGCAACTTATGAGGGACTTACACTCAGGAAAGTAGTCCGTCATCATCTGACCTCAGGTCATCACCATGGAGTAGCCAATCACGGGCCTGGAATTCGATCTCACACATATGTTTGATACGAGTTATCTCAAATGGGTTTCTCACCCACAGGTGTGCAAGAAATCACATTTCAACATGTCATACCACACAACACATTAGCAATTTCATAGCTTGTCCCATCATATCTTATCATATCATACCATATAATGCCATGTCTTTCCATGCCAATTTATATCATATCAATCAATCAATATTTATTCAACACTGGAAGACCGCAAGCCATATAATATGTACACTAAAAAACAGTATTTACCCAATCTCTATAATACACATAACATATTGCATCATATCCCCTCATGTATCATATCACACCACAACACTTATATCACATCATGTCATGTCACATCATATCATTTCATATACATATAACTATACTAAACCCTTTGTAATATCACGTCCCACAATATCATATGACAGCCTTATAGTTTAATACCATTTCTAACTCTTTTGTTTGTAGTTTATTCAAATGGCAAATATCTATAAAAGTGTACTTAATGTATATACACAATAGTTTCATAATACCAAGCAGCTAAGATTATTCTTTCATAAGGTTCTGTCGGTATAAAAAGGCATAATATATGTACATGGAAACATTTTGTAAGATACTTCTTTTTGTGTTTGACAGCAGTGTTACAAATTTAATAATATTAGGGTACCTGTAATAATAGGCTTGCAGCTTGCAGCTTCTCTAAGGTGTAAATACACTGGACATACAAGTAAGAACGCAAGTAAATATTCTATAAAAAGACACATCAATTGCCTGGAAGAAATTTTATTTTAACATTAACACTTGCAATCAACAACAAGAATGACTCATGCACAAGCCAATA